TGGATATTAGAACTTTGAACAAATGTACATGAAATGACATTTTAAAGGGAAACAAATACATGACACTGTTGCCTTTAATAGAAATACCGGTAGTAACGGTTTGCTGCAAGTTGAGATTGAGTAGGTTCTCAAGGTAGCTAGTAAGTGTGTAAATTTCGGAACTAGCAACCATAAATCCACAAGAAATGTCGAACGACACATATACTCCCCTTTCTAGCCCTTTACTCACATTATTGGTTATTTTGTTATAGTAACTTGCCATAAATGGGTACATGGAAGTGTTAAGTTATGGAAAAAAATAATGAAGATTTTGTGATAGCTCTCAAGATAAGGAGCGGAAACCATTCTAGTTATGATCTTGACCTTTGAACTAGTGACCAAAAATCAATAGGGGTCATCTAAAAGTTATGACCATTTCATATTAGAAATATGAAGACTTTGTGATAAATAGCTTTCAAGATAATGAGCAGAAACCATACTAACATTCAATGCCCCTGTGAGCTTGACCTTTGACCTAGTGACCCCAAATTAATAGGGGTCACTTTCTAGTTATGACCAATCGGTATGTAAATTATGAAAACTTTGTAATGAATAGTTTTCCAGATAATAAGCGGAAATCATTCTGATATTTAAGGCCCCTGTGACCTTGACCTTTAAACTAGTGACCCCGTAAGCAATAAGGGTTATCTACTAGTTATGACCAATCAATATGTGAAATATGAAGACTTTGTGATAAATAGTAACCAAGAAAATGAGCGGATAGCATTCCAACATTTATGGCCCCTGTGAACTTGACCTTTGACCTGGTGACTCCAAAATTAATAGGGGTCATTAACTAGTTATAACCAATCAATATGTGAACTATGAAGACTTTGTGATAAATAGTAACTAAGATAATCAGCGGAAATCATACTACCATTCAATGCCCCTGTGACCTTGACCTTTGACCTTGTAACCCCAACTGGTTTGCTGGTTATGACCAATCAATATGTGAAATATAAAGACTTTGTGATAAATAGTTACCAAGAAAATGAGCGGATAGCATTCCAACAATTATTGCCCCTGTGAACTTGACCTTTGACCTGGTGACTCCAAAATTAAGAGGGGTCATTTACTAGTTATAACCAATCAATATGTGAAATATGAAGACTTTGTGATAAATAGTAACTAAGATAATCAGCGGAAATCATACTACCATTTATGGCCCTGTGACCTTGACCTTTGACCTAATAACCCCAATTTGTTTACTGGTTATGACCAATCAATATGTGAAATATAAAGACTTTATGATAAATAGTAACCACGATAATGATCGGATAACATTCTGACATTTACGGCCCCTGTGCCCTCGACCTTTGACTAAGTAACCCGGAAACCATTTTGACATTAAATACCCCTATGAAATCTACCTCTGACATCGTGACCCAAAAATCAATAAGGGTCATCTACTAGTTATGTCCAATCACTATGTGAAACATGAAGACTTTGTAATGCATAGTTTTCAAGAGAATCAGCGGAAATCATTTTGACATTTAAGGCTCCTGTGACATTGACCTTTGACCTAGTAACCCAGAAAAAATAGGGGTCATCTACTATAGTCATGACCAATCAGTATGTGAAATATGAAGACTTTGTGATTGTTTTCAAGATAATCAGCGGAGACCATGTGGTCTACCGGCTGACAGACCGACAGACAGACCAACAGACACACCAACAGACCGACATTAGCAAAACAGTATACCCACTCTTCTTCGAAGGGGTGCATTACCAATGATGCCTTTGCATAGTGATTACCATACACCTAAATAATACGTTTTCTTTAGATATTTTGATCCGTTTTATGGATGAACAGAGTTCATGGAGAAGGATATCATTCTTATAGATGACAACAGGTAATTACAATTTGATTTAATGCTCGGTTTTTCATGACTCAAAGTGGTATCAGAGTTTAACCATATTGGCATTCTTATCGGTCATAAATTTTATTGTTAATTTTATCGGAAGCTGGATAAAACTTTGGGATTTGTTTTGATTGGGGTTTACGTCGCACCAACACGTACAGTATAGATCAAATGGTGACTCTCCCGGTTAAATGGTGGAGGAAGACCTCAGGTGCCACCTGTGTACATTATCTCAGGCAAAAAAGGCCAGATATGGATATTTTTCTCAGATGTACAAACAAAAGACGCATGCTTGGCCCCAAGCCCCCAACCTACAGCGGTAAGAGGCAAGTGGTTTTAAGTCAACGACCTTAACCACTTGCCCTTTCGTAACTTAATAATATTATAAATCGGACATCTTTGATAATATTATCGGGGTGTAGTTTTAGTTCGCATGCCATCGTGTAAAGGGCAACTGACATCAGCTAAAAAAAACGAGAGAAAACAAATGGTCACCGCGAATCGCGGCGGAAAATGAGCTTTCTCGATACGGACTCGATGTAGCGAGACACCGCCCAGGGTGGTTTCTACATAAGAAAAATAAACAATGCGAGTTTTACTTTTTTTAAAGTTACATTTTTTTATTTATTTATTGTTTTTGTTCCTAGTTCGAATAGGTCGGAAATGAAACTTTGGACGTTTTCTTGTTGTTGGTTTCCTTTCGACTTCTTTTTCCCAAAATCAAGGGTCGGCTACCTTGAAAACCAAATATAATATTTAAAAGTTATAACCTTATTTCAAATTGTATGTTTAAAAAATGTAAACGTGCAAAAGTTTCAATACAAGTAATTCATATTTTGTCGGTTGATTCTAGATGTATAGTGCATTTATAAAACATCAAATATGGTAATTCTCTACGAGAAAATATGAGGATAAAAATCAGCTGTCACAAACACGTGATATAGTAATTTTGTTATCGGGAAAACAAACAAACAAACAAAAAAAACAACAACAGAAACCCTAAAGAAAGCTGAACACGGCAAAACTGAAACTATTGCAGACTCGGTTTGACTGAGCATGTTCATGGACGGTAATGGAAATTGCAAGTTACCGTCCACGCCACCTAGCACAGGCTAATGCAGATTTCAACATTTATTATGGTAATGGTGAAAGTTTGAGTAAAGAAACATCCACAGATGTGTTCATACGGCGGTTATCATGGAGCCTTTAATGTGACACAATAGTGCCATTCCATGGAAAGCGGCGTATGGTCCCCAAGTAAAAGAATGCGTGTGCCCTAAACAAGAAAACATTGCTCGGAACTAAATTGAATGGAATTTGAAAAAGGATCGGAGGTTATGAAGTCTGCATTTCACAGACAGAATGTCAAAAGACAAATTTAAAAAGAAGGCAGCATAAAAATATCCTAAGGGTGATTAAACAGTATTCAAGCAGGAATACTGGAACCACCCAAGTTTGAAAAGGCCAAAATAGAAGAAATTAAAAATACCACATAACATGTATACACAACAAAATGTCGTGCTGAACGATCTTCAAGGATCGAAAATATATACAAGTCTACCATACAAGTCTACCAATGACTCTTTGTGGAATCAATTATCCCGTAGGACTTGGGAAATAAAATAAGATAGAAATAAACTAAATACGGTCACTTATCAGTGCTTGTTGTGAATGTCGAAATTTGTTTACATCCAAGAAAAATGACAACAAACAAATTGCAAACTAAAGTGAGTTATCTGTGCAGATAAAAGTGAACGCTGGTTAGAAGACTGCCACATGAAAGCTCACGGACACCTGGCAAAAACAAGAAAACATTACACATGTAAATATAGCTCTTTCAGAACCGAACGAACCGCATAAAAGAGTCTTTACGTATCTTTGCTTTTTTTATTTTAAGTAACTGTATTAGTGTCATTGCTATCAAAATCTAAAAATTAACCATCAATATAGCTGATTATGCACTGATGACATTTTCAGATGATTTTAGATTATCGATTTTCCTGTCTTAGGCGAAATATTTTCTAGTTTCAACAATCGCAAAGATCGGAGTTTTTGTTCCCAATTCAAATTTTCGTTTGTTTCAAGATTATATCATGTGATTTGACGCGTCTGTTGCGTTTAAGAAAAGCTAAAGAACGAACATAAGACATAGGGCGAAAAGGAAAAGAATTAACGCCGGAGGTAAAACAAATAGCTCAAAAATGTTTGAAGAAGGTAAAACAATTGGTTTTGTATCTAATACTTTAAATGTGCCCAGATCGACAGTTAGGAGTTTAAGGAAGCTAATTGAGTAAAGAGATTCTATAGAAATTATTCCAAGAAGTGGTAGTTGACCAACAGTGACAGCAAGGGAGTATAGGAGGCTAGAAAGATTAGTTGAAAGTAATAGAAGAAAGAGTTTACAAGATATAACGACTTAATGAAAACAGAGAGACAAGCTGAAAATACATTGCAATTTTATTTAAACAAGAATGAATTTAAGCGACGAGTAGCAAGGAAGAAACTGACTATTCGGGGGGTTAATCGAAGGAAACGGTTGTCATGGTGCCGAGAAAAGAGGAAACTTATTGTTGAAGGTCATTGGATGAAAGTAATATTCTCTGTTTTTTGTCAAATTGCTGTTGGGAAAGATTCTCGGACATATATCTGGAGAAAAAGGGGCGAGGGTGATCAAGACCAGACCTGGCTGAAACTCGACGCGTCAAGCCATGCTACGAACCTAGGGGTGCTAACCTGGTACGGGGACGAGTAGGACGAATATGAAGTAGAGAAGATCTTTTCCAGGAAATAGAGGGCATATGGACAGATATAACTCCGGCATACATTCAAACCCTCTACCGGTCAATTCCAAGACGAATATTTAGTGTTATTCGACTGACAGGTCATCTATCCAAGTTCAAGGTCAGTTACAATAAAATACAGTTAGAAATAACCGTTATATTCATAGTAAAAAAATTCCTTCGCTTCCGTTAAACTTTTAAGCGCACCGCCATTTTGTCCGAAGATATAGTGCACTTTATTGAAAAACGCATAACACACGCTTATCACTCATATTTACATTGGCAACCGGCCACAATGTCAGTAATAAAATGAGTTTTAAAGCGTCAATGTATATAACTATATCAATAAAATCTTTCGATAAGACAGGCGTATATAGATTGGGTATACGTGTATTTAGTTAGTTTAAAGGTAGGAACATAAGTGTTGCTTTAAAACCATGGAACCTGTGTCAAAGAAATTAGAAGTTGAGGATAACTGTTCAGAACCGTTTACACAGAAAGGGTCACATGATGACGAAGTTACATTAGCTTTTGGAAAGAATAAACTTTATGTCTCGAGGAATTTTCTATGTTTAGCCTCCCCAGTATTTGAGGCAATGTTTAGAAATGAGTGTAGAGAGAAGAAAGAGAAACTCGTGCAGATGACAGGAACATATGAAGACTTCATTGAATTCCTGCTGTGTATTCATCCAAGAATTCTGAAAGAAGTAAACGGTAGGTAAAACATCGGATATCAATATAGGTTAGTTTGAGGTTATCATTTTGATGCAAAACTTGTTGCTGGGTCGTATGGGGGTTGCGTTCATTGAACGCCGCCTTTCCTTGTTGATCTTATTTATCATATTGTCAATGCATGAAGGGTGTAAGAGAACACATCTTATGTCTACATTGATATAGTTTTTATTATAAACAGATGTTTAAATTGCGTGTATATATAGGTAATGAATGCATAAGTAAGGATGTTTATTTGGCCGAATGCCATCTAAAATTAGTTTGACTTCCTGTAAAATTTACAGGGAAGAACTGAATTAAAAAAAATGTCTTTTTAAATTAACGAACAGAAATCTGCGATTTTCATTGGCTATTCTAAAATAGAATGTAACTTTAGGATACTTCTTGTCATTGTTAAATAAAATGAAAAGGATAATTCTAAAATAAAATAAACAGAATAGTTCTATAACGTTCTAATAAAATTGCTGAGATATTTAAGTTCCGTTTAATCATACTTAATTTGCGTTCTGTGAACGACACCTTCCCTTTTTATTTTTGTTCTTACTTTTTTCCTTCACATTTTTAACTGCTTTTTGATCCCATCACATTTTTAAGTTGAAATCGTAAAGTTCAAATTAAACATGAATTCATTACGTTGAATTCATAAAGTGGAAATCGTGAATTCTTGAAGTTGAAATCTTGAATTCATAAACTTGAAGTCGTGAATTCTTGAAGTTGAAATCTTGAATTCATACAGTAGAAATCGTGAATTCGTGACATCCATATGTTAAAAACGTGCATTCAGAAAATTATTGTGAATATCGGTGTATTCGCGAAGTTAAAATGTCCCCATCGGTCTTTTGTACATATATCTTATAGTGTTCCATTTTTAATGATTAATAACACCATTGATTATTCGGTCAATTGTAACATAAGTAATTTACATCAGAAATGTTACTGACGATTTGCTTTTTTTTTTAAATATATTTTTAGTATTTTTAAGTACGTACATGTTGCAAATCCCTGGATTTATTATACCAAGGAAACTTTCTCATTTACAAACTTATTTTTCAAATTTCGTTTTTATTTAACTTGTTTAATTGTTTAAGTAATTCTTTTCAAATGACATTCAGTATATAAAAATAAACAATTCACATATAGAGTTTAAATGACTGTAACAAAATAATCTTATATGAATAAATTGTTCTATTTGTTCATTTATGTGGAGTTTAAATTTGGCTTCAAACCCAAAAATTTCACACAATGTGGTGGGTGGGGTTATGAACCGCTTTAAGGTTTATCTTTAGTTATCAAAACTGGTTTTGTTTTGTGAATTATTAAATAAAACGTAAATAAAACAAGTGATAGGGGCATCTTAATAAATACTGTTAAATAGAAGTCGTACCACTTTGAATATACTTATACCTAATTTAATTTCTTTGTTTACAAAATGGGTTATTTTTTCTTAGCTACAAGAAATTATTATGTCTGTTATGCAAACCCTGCTTACATTTCTATATGTACTGAAGCTTAGAAATAACATATATGCAAGTTAACCAGTTTTACTTTGGCCAAGTATCTTTTTTAAGACACTTGTTGTTTCTAAATGTTTTGACACTCATATGAAGTTAATCTATCTTGCATGTGCTTAAATATCCTAAGCTAAGATTATAATAAAACTACGTGTATGCTAGTGTACGTTTTGTCAGTTGGTTCAGTTTAAATTCAACATATATATGCTTTAAAAGAAATAAGAGTACACAGTTGATAATATACACTGTACAATATAAGTACTTGATAAGTCAAATCAATAGCAATTGACGGTCAAGAACAATCAAATATGCAAATAAATTCAAACTAAGTTTATTTGATTTCTTTTTCAGAACTGAATGTGCTTCGTATTGTTCCCTTAGCTGAGAAATACCAAGTGACATCGATTATAACTAAATGTAAGGCTCTTATGAAATGGATGTTGTCAAATGCCGAAAAAACAGCATCAAGTTTATATGCCTCCAAGGATAAGATCGATTCACGCCAACTCGAACCATTGAAAAATTGTTTAACAGTATTGACATCCGCAACTTCTCTAAATTACACAGACATAATAGATTTAGCTGTCAAATCTGTTGTCAGGTTTGGATACTGCCTGTACAACGGAGTGGATCATTCTAAAAAAGTATCCAGTCCTTTTTGTCCAGGGTTAGACAGCAAAATAGGCCTAAACAACGAGACGACATTCGTTGATTTATATAGAGATTGTAATGTTCTCTTCCAAAGTTTCTCACTTGAACTCCGCAACAAAATTCTATCAGAAAGATTAATGAGAGTCTATGACAAAGATTTTAAGTAATTTATAGTGATCAAACTGCATATTACATGGTCTTATTATCTATCATCAAAAAGAGTATATGAAAAAAGAGTATCTTTTTTAAAAAAGTATACAATATACTGAGTGCATGTATGATAAAAAATGTACTATGCTCATAATGAATGAATTGATTGGTAGACTAAAGTGAATTCGAATTGATCACATTTTCCATTAAGTATTATGGACATATGATAAATAATATTTTGTTTCAGAACACTTTATTCCTGCCATCGTATCATGTATCCTACACTTACCAACAACATCCAGATATAATTATTCTTTCATAAATTGTTTTCAAGTATGATACTAAATACTTTCAACTATCAACATAACTTTTTGTGGTTTTGTTACAAATATCTGGAAAAAATTGATCCCTCGGAAGCATTAGAACCATCGAAAATTACATAGAAATTGCAGACTCGTTTTGATTGAGTCCGTACACTAGAGATAATGAAAAAGTGCTACATCCCTTACGACTCCTATCACAGGTTTGAGCCTCTCAATTTTCAACAAAAAAGTGCTGAAATCCATGATACCGACGAACCAGAAACATATAACATCACTAAAGTGAAGTACAGAACAACATTTTACGGCTGACACACATCACTCGACACTCGCTGTTGTGATGTATGAATATTTGGCTGGAAAAAAGTGATCCCTTTAAAGCATTAAAACCAGCAGAATTACATTCTCCTGCACGCTCCCTGGCAAGACTTTTATTATAGACCAATTCACTTTAATAAAAGATTTGCTCGATTTTAAAACTTTATTTTTTTTGTAAATATTAATATTTTGATGCATCAACTCTAGAATGTTTACAAAATATTTTATACCTTCATCTGAGTAGTGTGCTACTTGTATGCACTAATCCTGACAGCTTTATTTTTTATTAATAAATGACGAAAAGTAAAAAAATGGATTTGATTCATTTAACATGTCATTGAAAATGATTAACATATTATGACAGTATGATAATAATAATAATTGTGGGAATGATGATGCTAGATGGTGGATAACGACTGATATACAAACTGATGATTATGATACTTGAGATGATGATAATGATACTGATAGTGATAATTGATTGATTGATTGATCGATTTATTAATTGATTGATTGATTGATTGATTGATAATGATATTGGTGGTGGTTGTGACAATAATTATCGTTAAGATACTGTTTAAAGATTGCCACTTACATAATGATGGATATGAAGTATGTCTAAACATATCTAAAACTATTATAACTGTACTAGTATCTAAAATAGTGGACCGCTTAGAGATCATGTATATGGAAAACAGCTATACATCGACGATCATAATACCTCAATGTATAAATGTATAAGTATTCTTTTTACTCCTAAATTGTCTTAATCTTACATCGCTACAAGTAGGCATATCTAGCTGTTTATGTCATACAAGCATATTAAAGAAACCTTTGAAAGCTTTTAAAAATTAATAATTTAAATTGTTTTAACTGACTGGTAAGACCCATACTTATATTTTGTACTAAAATCTATGCAAGAGAAGGATCTTAAATTCTTAAGTGAGCCCAAAATATTGTAAAGATTTAAGCGTAAATTATTCTGTCAAATGATGAACATGTATGAGGAGAAGTGACTGCCCAAGTACAATATTGTAAAGATTTACTAAGTATAAATTATTCTGTAAAATAATGAACATGTTGCACTTAAATTTACGAATGTGGAAGGATGCCATTTTTTTATTTATCATCATGTATAAGTTTGTTTTTAAAAATATTGATAAACACATCTTTGTACGTCTTGACATATATTACTTAATTAACTTACAAAGCTGATTTTAGCAGCAACCTAGGCTTCTTCTGTGAAACATAACTGTATTTTTACTAGTTTTGCATTGTTTAAAATCGTCTATTTATTAATCATTTTGTCATAAAAAATAATTGTTTGTACATTGTGAAATTTGTTAGATGGAATCTAAGGTACGAAAATAGAAGTCAACAGCAAATCTAAAATTATTATTGTATGTTTATTATTTTCAATGAATGAAGATTGCACTTTTGAGTATACATTTCTTAATTGTTGTATATTTATTATTGAAAAATAATACTCAGAATGTTGACAGCATTAAAATGTAGCCGTTAATTCATGCAATAATTACGAGTATTGGTATGATTGATATATACATAATAATAATAATGAGTGTTTGGTGCTATTTCTCTTGTGTTTGTAGACATGCATTTCAGACTTACAAATAAATATGTTGATTTGAACTGGGTCACTTAACTGTCTGATGATTATACGACAAACAATGGTGCAGCGACCTAAGACATACTACCCTAGCTGTTTTATTAAAAATAGGTTTACACAGTATCCTTTTTATTACAACCATCATTATAGAAAAAAAGAAACGACAACAGCCAGAAACAACAACAAAAGACAGAAGGCGCGAAAACCTCAAAATAACATGTCTCGGTGTCAGCATCACATTAAATTGTCTACAATAACCGCAACATACTTTAATGATTTTTTAACACCACACGAATTGGTGCTTTTTTGATAAATTTAATAAAATAAAGCCATGCAAGCCAAATTCTTTATATACAGAAATGGTGAAAATGGGTTCAGAAAAAAAATCAAAATAACATTCAAACCCGCTCACATGGAGAAAATACGTGCGGCTGTTATAAATATATTTATCAATTTTGACTAGTTTGCAACCATGTTGCTCCCTTGAACAAAGTGTGCAACGAAATATTTGCGATAGGATAAGTTCGTTAGCGTAGCTGGTTATATTTCAAGGGGCGGGGCTGGACCTCATATGGAAGTCAAAACTGAGCATCGATAAAAAGTATATTTTACATTAAGAATATCGAAATGTGATTCTATATATATTTTTTATGTTTACCCATTTTTGTTTTGGATTTTATGCTCTCAATAAGTTTTCAATATTTATTAAATGTTAATCATCGTTCGGTGGTAAAATTTTGTAAAAACTGTATTATGAGTCCGTTTATTGAATTTTCTTCATATGCGTCGCATGTTTTGGACATACTAAAACTGAATGAATATCTCGACGAAGACCGCATAAATCCAAAACAAAATTGGTAAATATAGAGAAATGTCACGAGTGTATACTCTAATTCTTTAATTAAAGATTTGAATTTTACATAAATTGTTTGAAAAGTTTCAAGATTTCCCTATGACTGATCCATTTTCTCTTTCATGTATGGTGTTATATATTGCACATTTGGATTATATCTTTAACCAATGCTCAATTTTTAGATCCATATGGGGTTTACCCCACTCCCCTGGGTATTTATCTCATCCAGACTTTTGTATATGTGACTAATACTCTGAGGGTCATAGGAACGAATTGCTCTCCATTTAAAGGACCATGTCGAAAACGAAATTAAGATTCATTGCATATAGCATATAGTCTGCATATGCCTACACTGTCAGTAGTTTGCATTTTTTCTTAAACAGTAATCTTATCTAACGTTATTTACAAGTGAAATACGACAAGAAAACAATTGAGAAGGCTATTGTTAAAATAACATGCCCTAATGAGAATAAAGATCAATAATTTCCTTCGATTCTAACAATTATATACATTACATGGTGATAACTGTATGAGGGTATGGTGGCTAATTTCTATGGTGGCTGATTTCTGTCATTTCGTGTCAGAAATCAGCAAACACAAAAAGGAGAAGTTTTTGTCTTACCCGAGAATTTCAATTACACATCACCACACTTTCTCACGTGCACGTGACCAGATACCCAGTACAGTAACACAATGAACACAACATATTCAATTCATACAATTCAAAGAGCTAGTTTGATCTTCATAATAAATACCATACATTGTTTATAAACTCATGCATGCAATTATGGAACAGAAAAAGATAAGGTCGTTCTTGATGGAAGAAAGGGTTGTGTTTTAATCAGTGTGCGAATTAAACGGTTAACCATTGCATTTTTGTGACATCTTTTTCAGGCTATCCCAATGCGTCATAGAGTAATGTTGAGTTTTCAAATTTGACTGGAGCAGACGCCATACTCATGTTTGCTTTATTTTGTGAGAAACAAGATATAATATTGGTGCATATTAGAACTTTGTACGAATGTACATGGAATGACAGTTTAGCGAGGATGAAATTAAGGACATTGCTGCCTCTAATGGGAATAATAACCATTTGCTGCAAGTTAAGATTGAGTTGGTTTCAGTGAAGTAACTGCGTAAATTTTGGAACATGCAACCGTAAATCAGTGGCCGAGTTGATAAACAAATCATATCTGTGCATAGTGATTAGCATACACCAATAAAATACTTTTTCTTTCGATATTGTGATCCTTTTAACTGATGAACAGAGAGTTTGTTGAGAAGTAATTCATTCTTATAGATGACGAAAGGTTAATATCATAAAATCATGTATTATTTGAAATCATTACAATTTGAGTTGAGTTGTTCCTGATTCAAAAAGGCCTTCTTATCATTCATAAATTTTGTTGACTTTATCGGAAGCTGAATAAAACGTAAGGATTTTTGGATGGGTTTTACGTCGCACCAACACAGTATAAATCATATGGTGGAGGAAGACCTCAGGTGCTCCTGTGTACATTGCATTCAGGCAAAAACGGCCTGAGTAGAAACACCGACGTTCCATAAGCTAGCTGGATATTTTTCTCATATGTAGAATCAGACGACGCAAGGTGGACTCAAGCCTACAGCGGTAAGAGGCAAATGGTTTTAAGTCAACGACATTAACCACCCGGCCACGTACGCCCATATGATAAAACGTAACTTGATAATGTATTAAAACAAACATTTTTGATACCGCATGTCTTCGTAAAAAAGGGCGACTGAAATCAGTAAAAAATTGAGGGAAAAACAAGTGGTCACCACGAATCACGGCCGAAAATATAAATTTAATGAGCCTTCTCGATACTGACTTCCATCACATTTGTCTGATGTAGCGTGACAACGTACGCGATGGTTTCTATGCATTGAAGTACTACGAGGGCAAAATAAACAATGAGGATTTAACTTCCCAAAATCAAGGGTCACCTTTTTGTAAACCAATATATTAAAAAGTAATCACCTTATTTTCAATTGTATGTATCAAAAATGTAAACGTTTGAAAATAATAGTGCAAGGTTTCAATACAAGTACTTCATATTTTGTCAGTGTATTTAGAATACGTCAAAGTTAGTAATTCTTTGGGAGAAAATATGAGAATAAAGATCAACCGATGCAGTATGTTTTGTAATTGGGACAGCTTTTGATAACAGTGAAATAAAAATGGTACATAAATATATATATAAATACAAGTCTACCAATATCTCAAGCAACATTCAGTTTTCAAAATTTACCCTGTAGGTATGGTGGCTGGTTTACGACATGTCTTATTTTTTCTTCTTCGTCTGAAAATGCGAAAACACGAAGGAACGACAAAATTGGATTTTGTCGTCTCTCCTTATTTTTCGCTTTTTTCGCATTTTCGAGGCAACAAAGCCAAAATACCAAAGGAGGAGGGCGAGAATACGACACATAAAATATATTCGCATTTCTTCTGTCGTATGTACGCTTTTCGCAATGTTACATTTTCGCATTGTTGCGTTTTAGCATTGTTGCATTTTCGCTTCTTCGGATTGATACATTTTCGCATTCCGGTTGTACATTCGCATGGAGACATCAATCTGAAATAACTAAATGTTACAGCTAATGACAGTTTTTGTATCATTAGTTTATTGTTTCCCTTCTTGTATCGCATTTTCGCATTTTGAGGTGAAGATGCGAAAATACGATATGGCGTAAATCAGCCACCATACGTAGGCATAGGGAAATTAAACAAGACCGAAATTAAAAAAAATACGGTCACTTATCACTGTTTGTTTTGAATGTTGACATTTGTTTATACAAATCTCTTCCAAGAAAAATGACAACAAACAGTGAGTTATCTATGCTGATAGTTAGAAAACTGTCACGTGAAATATGAGTACACGCGAGTTATGACGGAATCATGTAAACAAAAACAACAAGAAAACATAAAATGTATGTTAAAGTGGCATTTCCAAAACCAAACGAACTACAAAGACTCATCGCGTGTCTTTGTTTCTTTGAAATGTTAGTAGCTGCATTAAAGTCATTGCTTTCAAAATCTCAATATTATCCATCAATTTAGCTGATCTACTAAAGATATTTTCAAATGTTTTTAAATTATTGATTTTCCTGTCTTAGGACAAATATTTTGTAGTTTAAAAATATGCAAAGATCGGACTGCTCATTTCTACCATAAGAAAAGCTGGAAATTGCCATTTGACCTATACAGTGTTTGACTGAAATAAATTAAATAATGACTAAAAAAGGCGACAAACAAAAAACAACACAACACAGTAAGGGATTGAAAGAGAGCTCATGCGCCAATGTTGCCACATCCATCATTATTGTTACATGCTACTTAGGTTTTTGCGGTCATTGACAGCTAGCTGTACAGTGACCAATTTACCTTTTTGGCTGATACTTTGAGGTAAATTACCAAAGCATTGCGATTTAAGAAAAACGCGCTTAATGGGCATGATTTGTGACATTTCTTTAGATAATAATAAATGTTTAAATGAGGTTTCAAGCTACTCTTGTGCCTTTAGTCACCCCCATTTACACGCGCGCACACGCACGATCACATGCACAGAAGCACAAGAAATATTAAGAAAAATCAACATACTATAAGGAAAATAGAAATAAAGAAATAAGTAATGAAATAAACTAAGTACTGAACGTTTAAACCGTTCTAAAGGACACAAAAATATCACTCTATATTATCTTTACAAATCTCATGTTCTCTGGTTTATGAATAATATACATAAAATGATTACACAAGCCGTAAAACGACATTTGAAGACGAATTGTAACGTCATATCTTTATATGACCTTGACAAGAAATGTGCACCATTGCCAACTAATATATACATATTAATATGAAACTAAAAATATGAATAGAAAGAAATGAGATATTTGGTATGCTTTATTGAACGCTAAGACTATTATAACTCGATTTTCAGAAAATCTAACAACCTTTTGTGTAATTTACGAAAGAACAAAATCACTGTCATTCTATTGATTGATTTATATTGATTGGTCTTTAAAGAAATAACATATTTTAAAGCATTAATGGATATATTTCGTTAAAACAGACGTATATAAAGATTTAGGTATACTAAACAAAGTTTTATAATTGAAACGATTGGAAATAAAAAGAACTATAAACAGTCATGGAACCTGTGTCAAAGAAATTAAAAGTTGAGGATTATAGTTCAGCTTTTTCTCCAGAACCGTTCACACAAAAAGGGTCTCATGATAACGAAGGTACATTAAATTTTGAAGAGGAAAAACTTTACGTCCCGCAAATTTTTTTATGTTTAGCCTCCCCAGTATTCGAGGCAATGTTTAGAAATCCGTTTAGAGAGAAGAAAGAGAAACTCGTGCAAATGACTGGGAAATCTTATGAAGACTTCCTTGACTTCCTGCTGTGTATTCATCCAAGATATCAAAAAGCAGTAAACGGTAAGTTAAACTTGGATAAGTTTCTTTAGAAGCAAGACCTGTCAATATACAAAGTTACATGTAAAATGGGGAGGTGGCCGTGTGGTTAATGTGTCTGCCTCCTCTCAACCCAGGAATCATTAGTTTAGTTCGAGCTCGGCTTGGGTCGCGACAATAATTCTTCATACGACATCAGTACTGGTTGGTTCCAGGAAGTGGACTCGAAAGTTATTAATATAAGTTGTAAGAATTTGAGAATTTGTAAGACAAATAAAGATTATGGAAAAGAAGCTTTAGAAAATTTGATTTGAACAAAATGTTTTAACTAGAAGCTGATGCATTGAAAGAATTAAAAAGAAATAATACTTCAGGTCTTCCAGATATTTGAAGAAAAGCGTTTGTTTTTATTGAACTGATTATATAAGTAATATAACAGTAAACTGTAAATACATATAAATACTTAATAAATCCAATCAAAAGCAATTGACAGAAAATGATCTTATATGACAATAAACATTTACAATGTGTATTTGATTTTTTTTCAGAACTGAATGTGCTTCGTATTGTTCCCTTAGCTGATGAATATCAAGTGACTGCGATTGTAACAAAGTGTAAGGCTGTTATGAAGTGGATGTTGTCAAACGCAGTGAAAACAGCCGCAAATGTAAATTACAAAGAAGAACAACTTCAACCATTGAAGAAATGTTTTACTGTATTGCATTCAGCAGTTTCTCTTGATTACACAGACATATCGGATTTAGCTGTCAATTATATTGCAAAATTTGGATATTGCCTGTACAATGACATTGATTATAGTGAGAATGATGAATTCCGTTACCCTAGATTTGATCAGAATATAAACAACGTGGCGACATACGGAAATGTCCATAAAGAATGTCAAACTTTATTCAAAAGTCTGCCAGATGATATTCGCTGCAAGATTCTTTCAGAAAGATTAAAGAAAGTCAATAACAATAATTTTAAGCCATAGATAGTAACCACGATAAAGATTTCACACAGTCGCTGTGATGGTACTGTTGAGAGAAACAATTCACTGAACAAGCATGCATATAAATTGATATATCTTTTATAGTCAAAGTTAAAAGAACAATGACCATTACTGATACATTTTATAAATATATATGTGTAGATTATAAAGGCAAATAAAGATTATGGAAAAGAAGCTTTAGTAAAGTTGATTTTGAACAAAATGTTTTAACTAGTTTCTGGTTCGAATTGAAAGAAATAAAAAGAAATAAGACTTCATGTCTTCTAGATATTCCTATCATATAATATACCTTTTGAAAACCATAAATTTGTATTTTATGTATAATGAGGAAAATGATGAAGTGATTTATTTTCCGATTTACATTGCATTTACTTATATACAAAACTATTATAATAATTAAAGAAAAAATAATATAATAAGACATTTTACAATTTGTAAACCTGAATTTCAGCGCGTACTTGTCATGCGTAATAAGCAAGTCTACCTCATTGATACACTACACAGACCCGATGATCTCGTACAGTTGTGTCATGCACGGGCAACCGAAACGCCGCTTTCCGGTTTTTTTTACATAGAGCACGTCTCAAATAACCTTATGTCAATATTGAGTAAAAATTCTTACACAGAAACTTTCGCTCTAATTCACAACTTCAAAACAAAAGAAACATATTATTGTTAAATCGTAGTGCTTTCAGCAGCCATGCCATGCTCTCTGAAAATCAACGTCATCAGGCTATTGGGATGCTGCAAGCGGGTGCTAGGGTTTTGGACGTTGCACAGCATTTTGGCTGTTCTAGGCAAACAATTCATAATTATAATCTTAGTACACGGTTCGGTAGTACTGGATTCGTTCATCATCGTCCAACATCTGGTGCACTTCGTGTGACGTCACTAAGGAAAGACCACGTCATTAGGCTGAATCACCATCGCAAACGATTTTCGCTGTTACAGCTACTGCTCAGCAGCTACATGCCAGTGCCAAATCTATCCGCAATCGCCTTATGCAATTCTACATTTCAATTCGTGCCCGACGACCATATACTGGCTAGATACTGAGACCCCACCATAGGGTCGGCAGGTTGGCCTGGACACAGCGTCACTTACGCTGGACACGAAATCAGTGGGGTCCGGTTATTTTCAGCGACAAAAGTCATGCTTACGACAGTGTGCGAATCTAACAGAAATTCGCAGAAATGAACGCTTCGCACAATGTTGTCCGGGACGGGATATGTTAAGTGGGGGAAGTGTGATTGTATTGGGAGGAATTATGGGGGACCGAAAGACAGAGCTTGCGGTTGTGTGCTTCAGCCTTACAGCACAAGGTTATATGCATAATCTGGCAAACACTCTTTTACCATTCATGAAGGCTCATGGTCCTGGATTAACTTTCAAACAAGACAATTCAAGACCACACACTGCCCCCATTGAACAGCCAATTTTCTAGCTCGCAACCACATTAACTTATTGTCCTGGTTCGCATTCTTCATGGATATGAATCCCATTGAACATATCTGGGATGAAAAGTGAAGACAAATCACCAGATAGATAACGTGAACTAACTCGCCCGGGTACTGCAGATGGAATGGCGGACCCTGTCTAACGTCTTAATCAGGCACTACGTTAACTTCATTAGGAGGAGAATTGAGCGTGTATTACCAGTTCCGGGGGGTGGGGGGAGCGCACACGTTACTATGGTGGCTGATTTGTGCCATTCGTGTTTTCGCCCCGCGACCCCGCCAAGCGAAAAGTCGAGAATTAACAAGTTAAAATGGCGGGGGCACGGAGCGAAAACACGCTAATAAGCGGGGTCGCGGGGCGAAAAGTCGAGATTTTATTGTAAAACCGCGGGGCTGCGAAGCGAAATATTTATTGTCATAGGGCCTAATTAGCCTAATTTGTCACTGTACAGCTTTAAAAACTCGACTTTTCGCTCCGCGCCCCCGCGAATTAGCGTGTTTTTGCTCCGCGGCCCCGCCGTTTTTGTAGTTAAAATCTCGTCTTTTCGCTCCGCGCCCCCGCGGTTTTATTTATTCTTTGAACCTCGTTTTGCGCCTGAGCTAATTAGTGTGTTTTCGCCCAACGCCCCCGCCGTTTAATTTCTTAAATCTCGATCCGCGACCCCGCTTGGGGAAGTTTTATTTCTCAAATCTCGCCCCGCACCCCCGCTAATTAGAGTGTTTTCGCCCACGACCCCGCCAAGCGAAAAGTCGAGAATTAACAAGTTAAAATGGTGGGGGCACGGAGCGAAAACACGCTAATAAGCGGGGTCGCGGGGCGAAAAGTCGAGATTTTATTGTAAAACCGCGGGGCTGCGAAGCGAAATATTTATTGTCATAGGTCCTAATAAGTGTGCTGTTGTTCGCGCCCCCGCCAAATTATTCTTTAAAAACTCGACTTTTCGCTCCGCGCCCCTGCGAATAAGGGTGTTTTTGCTCCGCGGCCCCGCCGTTTTTGTAGTTAAAATCTCGTCTTTTCGCTCCGCGCCCCCGCGGTTTTATTTATTCTTTGAACCTCGTTTTGCGCCTGAGCTAATTAGTGTGTTTGCGCCCAGCGCCCCCGCCGTTTAATTTCTTTAATCTCGCTCCGCGACCCCGCGGGCGAAGTTTAATTTCTCAAATCTCGCCCCGCACCCCCGCTAATTAGAGTGTTTTCGCCAACGACCCCGCCGTTTTATCTCTTAAATCTCGAACCGCGACCCCGCAGAGCGAAGATTTATTTCTTAAATCTCGCTCCGCGACCCCGCGGGGCGAAGTTTTATTTTTTAATCTCGCCCAGCGCCCCCGCTAATTAGAGTGTTTTCGCCCGCGACCCCGCCTTTTTATCTCTTAAATCTCGTACCGCGACCCCGCGGAGCGAAGTTTTATTTCTTAAATTTCGCCCCGCGCCCCCGCTAATAAGTGTGTTTTCGCCCCGCGACTCCGCCGTTTAATTCCTTAAATTTCGATCCGCGCCCACGCGGGCCGAAGTTTTTAATTTTTAATTTTCGTGTTTTCGTCTTCCACAGAATAATAGAAGAAAATATCTCTAAATCAAAAGTGAATTGGTATTTATACTGTATTGAATTTTTGTTTTACCTGTTAAAATGTCACAAGTTTACAGATAGAATGCATTCATGCCTGTGTTAACACACTGTGTAAAACAAACTACGCATGTCCCACCAAAAACCGGAAGACGAAAATTAAGAAAAAAAACTTCGCCCCGCGGGGTCGCAGGGCGAGATTTAAGAAATAAAACGGCGGTGGTTGCGGGGCAAAACACGCTTATTAGCGGGGGCGCGGGCGAGATTAAAGAAATAAAACGGCGGGGACGCGGATCGAAAACACGCTAATTATCGGGGGCGCCAAACCAGGTTTAATAACTTTATTAAACGGCGGGGGTGCGGATTAGCTAATTAGCGGGGGCGCGGGGCGAAAAGACGAGATTTTTACTTCAAAAATCGGCGGGGGCGCGGAGCAAAAACACGCTAATTAGCGGGGGTCGAGGTTTTTAAGATTAATTTGGCGGGAGCGCGAACAACAGCACGATAATTAGCGCCCTATAACAATAATATGTTTCGCTTTTCGCCCCGCGACTTCGCTAATTAGCCTGTTTTCGCTCCGCGCCCCCACCATTTTAACTTGTTAATTCTCGACTTTTCGCTTGGCGGGGTCGCTGGGCGAAAACTCGAAATGGCACAAATCAGCCACCATACGTTACTGAGTTGTTCTGATAAACAGTATTAGCTTTAATTTAAAGATTAAGAATCTCAAGTCTCGTTTACTATCGCCTTTCTTTCCTTGATTTTTTATTTGGATTCCTAAATCAGAATTTGTTAATTTATAAAAACTGTTTCTTTTCTGTTAAATCGACAAAAATGTGAATAAATCGAAGCAAAATCTTAAATAAATAAAATGTAATTAGATTTATCTGGAAACACCAATAAGTTATTGATATATGCCAATTCTAAGTCCATGTACTTTTTTTTATTTTGCTAGGTGTATTAAAATGTTAGAAAACTTTGCTAATGAATTATTACAATGTAAAAAGAAAAAGGCATCACATCATTTCATTTTTGTATTTTTACTCGTATTGATTGACAGCTAGCAATATTAAACCGCTATTGATGTTGCAGCAAAGTGAAAATCAACAAAGAAGGTGGAAATTTTGACCAGCTCTACAAAGTTTTGTAAATTTCCACCTCTTTTGGGTAGTTATATGAGTAAAATACGACTAAAAGATCTCATATTGTTCCCCTGTTAGTAAACATTACGTTTACATTATGTTTATACTTTTCTGCAAAAAAAACCTACTTTAAATCAATCCTATTCTGAAGATGCCGGATAATCGCCGGCTTCCTTGAATTTTGTCAAAGATAATAAGTGGCTCAATTTTGATAATGACCAGGATTTTAATTTCATCTTCAAGAAAATGTATCAATTAATGATGTGTAATTAATTCTCACTTGTGAAATGACGTTTTTGTGATCATCCTTTGTTTTTCTGTCTGTTTCAACATGCGTGAGTATGTCAGCAGTTTCTTCAAACGCCACCTCATCTATGGACCAATTGTGAAAAAGGCCATTGTTTATCTTGCACCCAGTAAAATGTCAGATTCAAAATGAAAATTGGGAAAAACACCTTAAAACTTAGTTGATTGAACAGATTCAATGATAAGGTAAACGAACAACCATTTAGTTCCAATGAAATTCAAGAGAAATTGTTGCAATGAATATGCTTGTTTGTTTATTCTGTTTGCATGTCATTCATCAAATATGCAGGTTTTTGACATGCAGAATTGTAACACTTGGGGTAGTCAATGTAATAAGAGAATATTTTTAAAAAATTTGTTGGTAAATTTAATGTTAGATATGTTAAAATGTGATGTAATAATTATAAGATAAGGAATCGCCCCAAGTAGTCCTGTAATGTATCGACTACCCCTCGTATAAGGCTAGAATCTCGTTTCCGTACAAAACTGAAATAACTTACGCCATTAAAAGGAGCCCTATTTTTCTGTCTCACAGATAAAATGAAAAATAGAAGTAACAGCTAACAACGTTGCATCATAAAACTTTCAAAATCTAGTCTTACAAACACAAGTTTCAATTTCAAGAATAGCAACGGAAAACGTTTGGCGTTTTAAATATGTTTCTATTCCAATGTCTAGGTTACTAGGTTAAAAAATCTTCTTATT